CTACATAAAGACAAAGATTATTGGAGAACGTTTTACAAGGTACAAATAATATTTCGGTTTTTCTACTTATAAATTTCACATCTAATTCAGTGCGTTACTTGCCAGTTCTTTGTAATTATTTGTGAAATTTACTAGTAATTTCTGAGTGAAAATTGTTTGACCACCAATTCCTGAAATAGTACAGTATGTAAACAATACCTTAATGAAGTACTGCACGCGCTGAGATTGTGAAGTGTGCAACCTGTAACTTACACTTTAACCTCCTATGAGACCACGTAAACTGAGGAGAAGCTGGAAAATAAAAATGGCAGACCTGTTTCCTGGCAGCTCAAGTGTTACCACCAAAATCCTGGTAGTTAAAGGGATAGTTCACCCATTGGCAGCTTTCCATGTAGACATCGGAAATTCAAATGCAAAAGGAATTGCGATTCCATTTGAGTTTTGGCAGGTCACATGCGGTACGCAGCGAGAGTGTAAAAGCAGATGTGGTAATTAATATTGCTATTTAAATATGACAGGCTCATAACTCCTAAGACATGGGAAATACAGTTGCAAATGGACTTTGCTTTTTCATTTGAAATTTCATTTGAAAGCGAAAATGCAAACGGTAATGCAGGATTTGCAATTGCATTTGGATTATGTCACAATTTATGCGTCCACATATGGAAAACGCAATTGAAAATACAATTTGCTATTCTATTTGAAAATTGTCCAGAATATCGTTCCATATAAACTGAGGAGAAGCTGGAAAATACAAATGGCAGACCTGTTTCCTGGCAGCTCAAGTGTTACCACCAAAATCCTCGTAGTTAACTTACCACGAGTTGAAAAGTAAGGTCTTCGTCGAAATCAGTACATAGGCTACTCTGAAAGTATGCAATTTCAGACATGTTTCTTAATGCAGCGACTGACCAATCAGAAATAAAGTATTAAGTAAGTAGCCCCGAAATAATAATCAGAAAAATATATTTTTCTTTTTTCCAATATGGAACAGTTAAAATAGCCTATATAAGTTTGCAGCTATATGTTGAGTATCATATTTGATACATCAGACTTTTATGGCTCATAGTATAATACAAGATATAGATGATATAGATACAATTCTGATGAAAAAAGAAATATGAAAACGTGTAATGTCTGAATAAGTAATGTTTTTTAATGAAATCAGTGAGATCATTATAACAGTATAGTAGACTAATTTCATAAAATGCATATAAATATCAGTTGTCACTTTATATCTCCCAATAATTTGTCTTTGTAAGATGGTAATTAAATGCTTAGCCTTATGATCAAAGCTATGTAGTTTTTATTGTGGGGGCAAAACATATATGCAATGCAGTACAATAATGATTAAGGGATGTACAAATAAATGTTACTCAAAAGCCTGATGTATCATATTCGATACTTACATTTTAACATGATTTTTAAAGAAATTATATATTGATAATCAGGAAAATCCAAGTTGCTTCAGTCCAGTAAGTGTTCATCTTGAAATATTATTAACAATATAAAAGTTCTTCTAATGTTTACATCATATAAAATCAGTAAAGATTTCACAGCAAAAAGACACACATATCACGACCTGAGGGTTGACATTTTTAGAATTATACTTAAAGGCCTTTTATTTGCTTAAAAATTATTTTTAAAAAAGTACAAATTCAGATATCAAATATGATACAATAGGCTTTATATAGTTAATTAATTTTACATGAGGATTACATTGAATTAAGGTTGCATTATTGTGATAATTTTTTATTGTCATATTTACAGTATTTTCTTCCACCTGTCGCTCTGTTCTTTTTTCAGTTGGCTCTGTAATCACCTGTGTCACAATGGGTAAATCCTGGACTAGCTGTCTTCTAGTGCTGTTTATGTGGACTTGCTTAGGTGCCCAGCAAATGGAAGATGCATTGTCTTTTCAGTTTACTCATCCACTTTACCATGTGATGATATATGAAAATTCAGCAGCGAAAACCTTTGTTGAATGCCCCATAAAAATGGGTATTTTTATGACGAACCAGTCTTGGGACATTTGGTACATAATAGAATCCGGGGACCATGATAATTTATTCAAAGCTGAGAAGTATGTTTTGGGTAATTTCTGTTTCCTGCGAATAAGAAGCAAAGGAGGGAATTCTGCCACTCTTAATAGGGAAGTAAAAGCCCACTATCTACTCACTGTAAATGCTATTGAAAGACATACTGGCGCTGAAACACAAACACAAGTTAAAGTGCAAGTTCTGGACACAAATGATCTCCGACCTCTTTTTTCACCGACTACATATAGTTTTTTTGTACCCGAAAACTCAGCCATCAGAACAAGCGTAGGCAGAGTTTTTGCCACAGACGCTGACACAGGCACCAATGGAGAGTACTATTTCAGCTTCAAAGAGTGGACTGACATGTTCTCCATTCATCCTACTAGCGGGGTTATAACTCTGACAGGCAAGCTGGATTACTCTGAGGTGGCTCGGTGTCGTGTAATGTCTTAATAAGTAATGTTTTTTAATGAAATCAGTGAGATCATTATAACAGTATAGTAGACTAATTTCATAAAATGCATATAAATATCAGTTGTCATATTATATCTCCCAATAATTTGTCTTTGTAAGATGGTAATTAAATGCTTAGCCTTATGATCAAAGCTATGTAGTTTTTATTGTGGGGGCAAAACATATATGCAATGCAGTACAATAATGATTAAGGGATGTACAAATAAATGTTACTCAAAAGCCTGATGTATCATATTCGATACTTACATTTTAACATGATTTTTAAAGAAATTATATATTGATAATCAGGAAAATCCAAGTTGCTTCAGTCCAGTAAGTGTTCATCTTGAAATATTATTAACAATATAAAAGTTCTTCTAATGTTTACATCATATAAAATCAGTAAAGATTTCACAGCAAAAAGACACACATATCACGACCTGAGGGTTGACATTTTTAGAATTATACTTAAAGGCCTTTTATTTGCTTAAAAATTATTTTTAAAAAAGTACAAATTCAGATATCAAATATGATACAATAGGCTTTATATAGTTAATTAATTTTACATGAGGATTACATTGAATTAAGGTTGCATTATTGTGATAATTTTTTATTGTCATATTTACAGTATTTTCTTCCACCTGTCGCTCTGTTCTTTTTTCAGTTGGCTCTGTAATCACCTGTGTCACAATGGGTAAATCCTGGACTAGCTGTCTTCTAGTGCTGTTTATGTGGACTTGCTTAGGTGCCCAGCAAATGGAAGATGCATTGTCTTTTCAGTTTACTCATCCACTTTACAATGTGATGATATGTGAAAATTCAGCAGCGAAAACCTTTGTTGAATGCCCCATAAAAATGGGTATTTTTATGACGAACCAGTCTTGGGACATTTGGTACATAATAGAATCCGGGGACCATGATAATTTATTCAAAGCTGAGAAGTATGTTTTGGGTAATTTCTGTTTCCTGCGAATAAGAAGCAAAGGAGGGAATTCTGCCACTCTTAATAGGGAAGTAAAAGACCACTATCTACTGACTGTAAATGCTATTGAAAGACATACTGGTGCTGAAACACAAACACAAGTTAAAGTACAAGTTCTGGACACCAATGATCTCAGACCTCTTTTCTCACCGACTACATATAGTTTTTTTATACCCGAAAACTCAGCCATCAGAACAAGCATAGGCAGAGTTTTTGCCACAGACGCTGACACAGGCACCAATGGAGAGTACTATTTCAGCTTCAAAGAGTGGACTACCATGTTCTCCATTCATCCTACTAGCGGGGTTATAACTCTGACAGGCAAGCTGGATTACTCTGAGGTGGCTCTTTATGAGATTGATGTGTTGGCTGTGGACAGAGGTCTGAAGCTCTATGGGAGTAGCAGCAGCAGTAGCACGGCAAAGCTAAAGGTGCACGTGCTGCAGGCCAATGAACATGCACCTGTCATCACAGCTGTCCCCTTAACTCCATGGAACGCAACCAAGGATCCCACTTCAAGGCCTTCAGAACAAACCCTGGAAGCAAAGAATACAAAATCAGGGCCATCAAGGAAGTTGAATGGGAGGGTTATAGTTTTGGGTACAATCTTACACTGCAGGCCAAAGATAAGGGAAATCCTCCAAAGTTTTCCTCAGCGATAGTTGTGAGAGTGAGATCGCCCAACGAATACACAGAATCTCCTACATTTGAGAAGAGCATCTATAGAGTTACACTCAGTGAGTTTGCGCCACCTCACTCTCCTGTCGTTATGGTCAAAACTGTACAGAAACATTCAAAGATTAAATACTTGTTACAATTTAAGATGCAACAACATGAGAATCCATTTGTCATTAATCCAAACACGGGTCTTATCACCACCACGGCACCTATAAATGCAGAAAGTGTCAGTCAATATGAATTTGATGTTGTTACGAGTGACAGACGAGCAGTAGCCAAGGTGGTGGTTGGTATAAGCGATGTGAACAACTATGCCCCAGTGTTTCAAAAGTCTAATTATGAAGCCAGTATTGCTGAACACGTGCCCATAGGGACCAGTGTCTTGACAGTCAGTGCTACCGACAAAGACGATGGCGAAAATGGCTATGTCACCTACAGTATTGTCAATGTGAACAAACAGCCTTTTGTAGTGGATTATTTCACTGGTGTCATAAGCACCGCAGAGGATATAGATTACGAGACGATGCCGAGCAAATTCTCCCTAAGGATTCGAGCCTCGGACTGGGGCTCCCCTTTCCGCCGTGAGGCAGAGACTGTTGTTTCAATCGCTCTCACTAACCTGAACGATAATAAGCCACACTTTGAGAATATCGATTGTGATGTTACTGTGCCAAGATCTCTAGAGGTCGGTGAACAAATAATAGTGGTGTCTGCCATTGACACTGATGATCTTGGCATAGTGCAGTACAGAATTGACACCGGTAATAACATGAATCTTTTTGAATTGGATTCCAGCTCTGGGGTGCTGACACTTAAAAAGTCGCTGAGGGATGGTGATGCGGCGAAACAGTCTTCCCACCGGCTGCAAATAACTGCCAGCGATGGAGAAATATCAAGTACTCCTATGTTCCTAAATCTAACAGTTGTTAGTGCTTTTAAACATGTCCGCTCCAAATGTGCAGAGACTGGCATTCTGAGAACTTTAGCCGGGCTGCTGCTTTTTGGCTCTAAACGACACAGTCAGAAAGAAGCAGAAGATGAATTGGCAGACATCCATTCTGTTAACCGCCACACTCCACGGGTTATAGAGTCCACTCCAACTGTAATAGAAGTTAAAGAGGACCTTCCTGTAGGGACAAGCATAGCACTCCTCAGAGCTGCCGATTCAGACTCTGGCTTCAATGGGAAATTGCTTTTTGTGATCTCAGGTGGAGATTTAGATAGTTGTTTCACGATAGAATCTGACACAGGGTGGCTTAAAGTGGCTTCAATGGGAAATTGCTTTTTGTGATCTCAGGTGGAGATTTAGATGGTTGTTTCACGATAGAATCTGACACAGGGTGGCTTAAAGTTTTCGAGCCACTTGATCGAGAAACAACAGACCACTACACTCTCAACATCACTGTTTTTGACCTTGGCTTACCGCAGAAATCCTCATCTCACATGTTAAATGTTAACATTTTAGACGTCAATGACAACAGTCCAGAGTTCCTTCAGCGTGAGTTTTCAGTGGATGTAAGTGAAGACACTGCTATGGCAACAGACATTTTTCAGCTTGAAGCAAAAGATAAAGATTTAGGGGTCAATGGAGTTGTTAGATACTCGTTTCTTACCAAAACAGACAAATTTGGCATACATGAAGAAACAGGGATTGTAACTGTTATGGGTCCACTAGACAGAGAAGCCAATCCGTCGTTTGTTTTGAAGGTGGCTGCTTTTGATGCAGCAGTTGATGAGCCTAAAATGGTATCAACAGTGTTGTTACACATTCATTTGGAGGATGTGAATGACAATGCTCCTACATTTATACCTGAACACTACAATATCAGAGTGAGAGAAGACATTCCAGTGGGCACCTTGGTGCTCTGGCTTCAAACTCACGATCCTGACCTTGGCCTGTCCGGACAGGTGAGATACAGTCTAATAGAAGTGGAAGATGGAAGCTTTCAAGTAGATAAAATGACTGGAGCTATGTACGTCTCTCAGACTCTTGATTTCGAAACAAGACAAGTATATAATCTGACAGCAAAGGCCAAAGACAGAGGCAAACCAAACCCTTTATCCTCATCCTGTTTCATTCATGTGGAAATTGTGGATGTAAATGAGAACTTGTACCGCCCGTCCTTCCCATTCTTTGTGGCATGGGGAGCTGTGAGTGAAGACGCCCCAGCTGGCACCTCTGTTATGAAAGTTACAGCTCATGATAAGGACAGCGGCAGGGATGGAGAAGTTCGCTACTCCATACGGGGAGGTTCAGGCCTTGGTCTGTTCACCATTGATGAAAACAGTGGTAAGTTCATTAGTATTCTTTTTTGCTTTTTAAAACAAATAAATAGCTTGTTCTGTGGAAAAATAAGCCTGATTCATTGGGTGGAAGGACTCAAAACAAATAAGTCATCAGTAAGTATTAAAGAATCTACAAACCATTAAAAAAAAACAATTTAATTAACAAGCAAGTAAGGCTTAATTAATTTTCTTTCTTTTTTCCTAACAAAAATAAATAAATAAAAAGTGCATTATTACTATTCTTATTATCAATATTCTTCGTCTTACTTATTTATTTATTTTGGTATGTGGATTCCTTGTGAACACTTACTGTGATTTTTCTATAATTATTCAGTATTAATATTAACTGATGACAGATTACCCCACAAAGTATTTAGGCACTTATATTGTCCTTTGGATTTTGAACATCTTCGCATTACAATAACAAAACAAAAAAACGAGTGTCATTAATATTTTAAATATATCAATTTTCAAGCAAAACATTTCACCAAACAAAATATTACACTTCATAATAATAGGCAAACAACACTGATTGTGTTTATACCACAGTGCTATCTAAAGACATGTGAGAGAGACAAAATGAAAAAGGGGAAAACAAAGCGATATGCTGGAGACTTTCACACTAAGGAAAGTGCTTATCAAGTTTTTTACTGGAGTTGTAGAAGCCACACAGCTACCTTTAGAACAAAGCCCACAGCGTGAAAGCAGACACTGCTGAGAGACAGACGAACAAAAAGAGCTGCCTCATCTCCCTTTACCCTCTTATTCTCTCAGTATTTTATGTACAATGTCTGCCCTTTACACATTTAATCTTTTATGCAAATGTCTGCGTTATGAATGCTCAATTCCCTGCTAGATAATAGATAAATTTTTTGCTTTTATGTTGATTACAGTTTTCATTTCAAAAGAATATTATTAGCATTGTGTCAGTCATTCCTACTTTGTATGGCTCATTTCTGCTTCATCCTTATCTAGACTTCAGAGTTTACAATGCAAAACTCTCAGTACCATGTGACAAGGTTTTATGGCACCACTGTTGGTGCTTTCTCAGTCTAAATATTCAAAGTGCTTTTTATTTTTCAAGCGCCTAACATGTAGTGCAACATGTTCCTTCTTTTCTTTGTCACAGGCATAATAAGGGCACAAGAGATCCTCGATCGTGAGACTACTAATCATTACTGGCTCACAATCTATGCTACCGATCAAGGAATTGTGCCACTTTCCTCATTTGTGGAGGTCTACATCGAGGTTAAAGATGTTAATGATAATGCTCCACTGACATCAGAGCCTGTGTACTATTCTTCTGTATCTGAGAACTCTCCCAAAGACGTCTCTGTCATCCAGATTACAGCATTTGACATGGACTCAAAATCAAGGGATGATCTCTCATATAAAATAACTAGTGGAAATCCACAGGGATTTTTTGCCATTACAAAAAAAAAAACGAGTGTCATTAATATTTTAAATATAATAATTTTCAAGCAAAACATTTCACCAAACAAAATATTACACGTCATAATAATAGGCAAACAACACTGATTGTATTTATACCACAGTGCTATATAAAGACATGTGAGAGAGACAAAATGAAAAAGAGGGGAAAACAAAACGATATGCTGGAGACTTTCACACTAAGGAAAGTGCTTATCAAGTTTTTTACTGGAGTTGTAGAAGCCACACAGCTACCTTTAGAACAAAGCCCACAGCGTGAAAGCAGACACTGCTGAGAGACAGACGAACAAAAAGAGCTGCCTCATCTCCCTTTACCCTCTTATTCTCTCAGTATTTTATGTACAATGTCTGCCCTTTACACATTTAATCTTTTATGCAAATGTCTGCGTCATGAATTCTCAATTCCCTGCTAGATAATAGATAAATTTTTTGCTTTTATGTTGATTACAGTTTTCATTTCAAAAGAATATTATTAGCATTGTGTCAGTCATTCCTACTTTGTATGGCTCATTTCTGCTTCATCCTTATCTAGACTTCAGAGTTTACAATGCAAAACTCTCAGTACCATGTGACAAGGTTTTATGGCACCACTGTTGGTGCTTTCTCAGTCTAAATATTCAAAGTGCTTTTTATTTTTCAAGCGCCTAACATGTAGTGCAACATGTTCCTTCTTTTCTTTGTCACAGGCATAATAAGGGCACAAGAGATCCTCGATCGTGAGACTACTAATCATTACTGGCTCACAATCTATGCTACCGATCAAGGAATTGTGCCACTTTCCTCATTTGTGGAGGTCTACATCGAGGTTCAAGATGTCAATGATAATGCTCCACTGACATCAGAGCCTGTGTACTATTCTTCTGTATCTGAGAACTCTCCCAAAGACGTCTCTGTCATCCAGATTACAGCATTTGACATGGACTCAAAATCAAGGGATGATCTCTCATATAAAATAACTAGTGGAAATCCACAGGGATTTTTTGCCATTAACGCCCAGACAGGTAAGTTGATACCTCTCATCAAAATGAGCCTCTTTGTGTTTTAAAAATGTAAAAAAGGAATTTAAATTTTCATTATTATGATGAGATCCTAAAGTAATAGTAAAGTAGTAAAGACTATTTAAAACATTTTAGAACCCTGTGTTTGAGTATATATACACAAATAGAGATAAAGCTTTCTTAAAGGGGTCATATGATGTTGCTAAAAAGAACATTATTTTGTGTATTTGGTGTAATGTAATGTGTTTATGCGGTTTAAGGTTCAAAAACACATTATTTTCCACATACTGTACATTATTGTTTCTCCTCTATGCCCCGCCTTTCTGAAACGCGTCGATTTTTACAAAGCTCATCGATCTGAAAAGCGAGGTGTGCTCTGATTGGCCAGCTATCCAGTGCGTTGTGATTGGCCGAATACCTCAAGCGAGTGACGGAAATGTTACGCCCCTACCATACTGTTGATGCGGGCGGGCTTGAGAACAGCGCGGCGGGCGGATCACTGAGCAGCACAAGTAATGAATGCAGCTAATTAATTTGACGCGTTAATTGATTTCTGCTCCTCCAAATTACTTGCCACACTCAGTCAGCTCAGCTTAAAGTCTCAACAGTGCAAGTAAAAAGTTTTTCAAAGGATTTCCCTGAAAAAAAGTCAATTGAACAAACTGAACTTAGTTGGTACATTCAGAACTGAATGTTTTTCAGGGAAAGAATTGTGACCGTTCAGATAGCGTTTCAAGGAACAGCAAGCACAGTACACTCTAAACTATGACTCTATTTGTGTGTGTGTGTGTGTGTGTGTTTTTTGGCAAAAAAAACTTGAAGAAATTCAATATATCTCTCTGAGGAGAATACAAAATTTAGGATAGATTCATCTGTCATGCCTGAATGTTTCTTTTTTGTTAGGGACAGACCCTGTGTCAAGGGAACAACTTGAATCTTTTATTACTGATAGAAAGTTCTTTCAGTCAGAGGCAGAAACACACTGAACTATGCCATTTGTCATGCACAGGGTTGGTGACAACAACATCGCGGAAACTGGACAGAGAAAAGCAAGCGGAGCATCTTCTTGAAGTAAGTGATCCTGTCCTGATGACATCCTGTAACTGATGACTTTGTACTTGGACAAGTTCATATGGCTTTCTGTTTTTCACAGAGCATAAAAGGAGAATGATCTTGCTTCTTTTTTCCATACAAAAATAGCTCATAGTGACCACATGTGTCAAGCACCAAAAAGGATACAAAAAGCACTGAAAAGTAGTCTATGCACTTGTGCACTTGTCTGATTTGTGAATGAAATGTTCTTTTGAGACATTCTAATTTAGTGTTTCACTGAAAAAAAATGGCACCATACAGGTTTAAAATGACACAATGTATGCAGTGCTGGGTTGATTACTTACAAATGGTAAACTACATGACAAAAATTGTAGTTTGTAACATAATCCATTATATTACACATTTTTGGTCATATAATCAAACTACGTTTTGATTACTTTTGACCTAACTTATTTATCTAAAATTATAGAATATTTTGTCAATTTTCATAATTAGATTAAATAACATTGTAATTTAAATATTGTGGAATAAAACAACCATTAACATTAGTTTTTACAAGGAAAAAACAGTATATTCCCTTAAAAATAGGTTCTTGACATGTCTAGTCCTCTATGTCAAGAAACAAGAGAAAACACTCACACTGCTTTCTTGCAGATTAAAGCATCAGACAATGGGAAGCCTTCAAAGTCGTCCATCTGTCGGTTGCACATTGAGTGGATTCCAAAGCCTAAGCTGGCTAAACAACCGCTGGCGTTTGAGGAGATTCCACTCTCATTCTCTGTGATGGAGAATGATCCAGTAGCCCATATGGTGGGAGTTATCAGCGCTCAGCCACTTAACTCCCCTGTATGGTTTACAATCAAAGGTAAAGATCTAAAGCTCTTCAATCCGCCTTAAAAGAAAATTTCCCAAAATGAATATTCTGTCATCTACACACCCTCATGTGATTCCAAACTCATATGTCTCTCTTTCTTCAGTGAAGCACAACAGGAGAATTTTTTAGGAGTATGGTGGTCTTCTCTATTTCAGGCAATCACTATGAATAGCGACTGGAGTTTTCAAGCGTCAAAAAGGACATAAAAGCATAATGTTTTCAAAAGTGTCCATATGACTCATGCACTACATTTTAAACCTACTGAAGTCATACAGTAGCTTTAAGTGAAGAACAGACTAAAATTTAAGTTGTTGTTCACTGATAATCTTCCACTCCAGTGATCTGTTAAATGCTATAAAAAGTCAGTGAGTTAAACTCCAATACTGAATCATGAACATATTTAATGATGATTCACTGGAAAGATATGACAAATCATTTCATATTACTTCTATCATGACTAGATCACATAAATATGAAAACTCTGTCCTCATATTGTTTCAAACATGCATGAGTTTCTTTCATCTAACAAAAGAACGTTTTATATAACGTCAAATTTTTTTGTTTATCATACTATGATAGTCAATAAGTTCCAGTGTTGTTTGGTTTCCAGTGTTCCTCAAAATATCTCATACAGGCTTGGAATGACATGAGGGTGAGTAAATTTATTTTATTTATTATTTTTTTTACTTTATTTAAACTTCAGTATAATTCTCACAAAGTGTTTTAGAATGGGTTCAGAAGACAGCACACAAATCATGTACCACTTTTATGGTGCTTTTTGAAGTTTTAAAGCCCCAGTTCTCATTCACTATAATTGCATGGGGAAAAAAATCATTAGTACATTTCTCCTTTTATGTTTGGAAGCAAGAACATCATCAGGATTGGAACGACATGAGGGTGAAATGGAAATACATTTTTGTGGGTGAATTACTCCTTTAAAGGAAAGCAATAAATACAGTGTTTAGTCATCTGTAGTCATTCTTGATGCTTCAGCTCTTTATAGTTCAATGTTTATTTGATCTTCAATAACCCAACCTTGATTTTGCCCTAATCAGCTTTCAACTAACTAAATGGTTTTTTTTTTTTCTCCCTCTGCTGCTGCAAATACATTTTTGTGGGTGAATTACTCCTTTAAAGGAAAGCAATAAATACAGTGTTTAGTCATCTGTAGTCATTCTTGATGCTTCAGCTCTTTATAGTTCAATGTTTATTTGATCTTCAATAACCCAACCTTGATTTTGCCCTAATCAGCTTTCAACTAACTAAATGTTTTTTTTTTTCTCCCTCTGCCGCCTTCTTGTCTGCCTCCTCTGCTTTTCTTTTCCTGTTTCTCTACTAATGCTTCACAAGGAGTCACACATGTTAAAGAGGTTTTTCACATCCTACAGATGGCTTGTGACCTGAACTGTACAGCAGGTATCTGCTGATAGAAATATCGCTTCTTGTTTTTCTTACAGTTCTTGCATTGTTTCCTATCAGTTCTCCCAGAAAGAGTTCTGAATCTGTATTCTGTGGAAGAGATCTTGCACATTATTTACTTTCTTTGAATGTTTGCTACTTTAATAGCTAATGCAAATGATATATTATGCATAAATTACACCTGTTAGTGAACAGCGTTAAAATGTGACTGCTGTCTGTGTTTGTACTAACAGGTGGAAATGCTGACAGCCGCTTTGACGTGGAGAGGGCGAGTGGCACATTAATCATCGCTGGAGCTCTAGATGCTGAACGGCAGTCAAATTACAACCTCACTGTTGAAGCAACAGATGGAACAAGATCTATCAGCACTCAGGTGTTTGGTCTTTAATGGCACTTACCAAGAAATTGCCCATGCATTTATAAAATTGGAGCGGTTGAATAATGGATGGAGGATAAGAAAATGTATGCACATCTTTGCCTTTGACAAAGATTGCATACGCGTGCATCTGCATTGTGACAGGATAATTGTTTTCTTGCTTAGTATTACCTATACATTCCGTCACTGCTCAAATTGCAAAAACAATTTAAAAAGAACAAGATTACATGCCACAGGTTTAAATTTGTCAGAAAGAAAACATATCATTTTGCTTTTTCCTAAATGCTTGATATCTTAACCTTTTGATCACGTGTCTAAAAAAAAGTCCAAAAAAAGAAAGAATTACAGATTTTAGTTGTATCCATTTCATTCCTTTGTCTTGCTACAAGTGACATTTCAAATCGAAAGATCAGGTTTAATCTCAAATGAACATATTCAATTTCATGTCTAAAACATGATATCTCAACTAGCTGGAATGTGCCCTGGCACCTGCATATTGCAATTCTAGACTTGGCTGGAGTCAGGCTCTCTGGCTGTCTTTCTGTACAGGTTGCCTTTGTCCTTTTGTCATGGTGTGAACATACCTCTCCTTGGGCGATACCTGCATGTATCAGCCAAGCCAGCCAGCCTTATCAGGTCACAGTGTGAGACGCATCCATCAGTGTGAACAGACCCAAAGGCAAAGAATGGTGTGAGAGGGAGTAATGTTTTAAAAGAGAGATCCGTTTCAGCCCTCAGACCCCAGTTTTTCATACATTTTTGTCTCAGGTCAAATAATACATACTGGGTGCCCTTATGTTCTTGTTGCTTGAGTAAACATACATTCTCCAAAAAACATGAGTGTATTTATGATGAACTTAAAGTGTGGATTTTGGACATATGCAATGGTTTTGATGGAGGTACTTCCTTAAAATCAGCTGATTTTCCCCCATTTGTTTCTCAACTGATCTCACTGCCATGCAATGTAATGTAATGTAATATTATATATAATTTTTTAACCCTATAAAACCTGAATGTCAGAAAAATCTATCTAAAGCCTGATGTATCACATTTGGTACTCTACATTATTCACATTATTTTTCTTAAGCAACTCAGGTTTACTTGATTATTGATACATGATTTTTTTTAGTCCACTAAGTGCTGATATATTGACATCACCAACAATATAAAAGTCATTGAGATCAAGTCAGTTGAGATTTCACCGCAAAAAGACCTGAAGGGGGACGTTTTTATAATTATGCTAAAAGGTCTTTTTTCTTTGTAAAAAAGTATCAATCAGACAACAGAAGGCATTTAGTAAATTGTGTATAGTTTAAATACCTTAGAAATGTGTGAATTAAATATAATACAGCAGGGCTTTATAGGGTTAAATGCACATATGGCATATTTAACTGTGTGGATTGTGTGCTTTGTTAAACAGGTCATAATTCATGTTATTGACACAAATGAACATCACCCCCAGTTTGGCTCAAACTGGTTTGAGATAAGTATTCCAGAGGAAACTCAGCCTGGTATGAAGATACTGGAAATAAATGCAACAGATAAAGATGAGAAGAACAAATTATCCTACACACTGTTGAGCAGCACGGACCTGTTTAGCCTGAAGAAGTTTCGTCTTGATCCTGGAACAGGCTTTCTGTACACCGCTGAAAAACTGGACCATGAAACCATGCACAGACATATCCTCACAGTAATGGTAAGGCCACATGTAATCTTTTTTGTCCTCTACAATAGGTATTAAAAAAAAGCATAATAAATTACCAGCTGGTTGTTACAGTGTGTAATATTATTCCAGGTTAGGGATCAAGATGTGCCTGTGAAGAGTAATGTTGTGAGTGATCATCAACGTGGAGGACAGTAATGACAATGCACCATGGTTCACAAGCTCTCAGTACACTGCCCGTGTGTTTGAGACAGCTGCGATTGGTTCATCTGTATTACAGGTCACTGCTCTGGACAAAGACAAAGGCCTAAATGCTGAAATTCTCTACAGTATAGATTCAGGTACAGTACAGCTCTATTAAAGGGTTAGTTCACCCAAAAATTAAAATCGGCTTGTGTTTTACTCACCCTCGAAGCATCCTAGGTGTATGACTTTCTTCTTTCAGTCGAATCCAGTCGGAGTTATATTAAAAATTGTCCTGGCTATTCCAAGCTCTATCATTGCAGTCAGCGCGTGTTGCAGTTGAACATTCCACAAGTCGTCAAATAAAGCGCGCGCATTCATAATAAAACATGCTTCACACGGCTCCGAGGGGTGAATAAAGGCCTCCTGTAGTGAATCCATACGTTTTGGTAAGAAAAATATACATATTTCAAACATAATAAACACTTTTCTCTCACTTCCGGTGCCTGTCATACGCGAAAGGCATTCCGGCGGAAGGCGTATGACGTATGCGCAGCGTGCGCGCCTCTGAGATATGCTAGTCTCGCAAGTTTGTTTATAGGAGCAAAAGAAGCAAAGTTTCCTTTAGCAAAGGCTTGGTTTATATCGAAATCCTCTGACATTTTTCTTTGCAAATCTTCGGTTTGTGCTTCTAATTCGTGAACGGTGTTTTGTTTTGTTGTCTCTCTGCGTTCGTCACTTATCACGCAGCTGCGTCATCTGCCGGCATGGCTTCCGCGTATGACAGATGGCGGAAGTGATAGAAAAGTGTTTATTACGTTTGAAATATGGATATTTTTCTTACAAAAACACATGGATTCGCTACAGGAGGCCTTTATTCACCCGCCGGAGCCGTGTGAAGCACGTTTTATTGTGGATGAGCGCGCTTTATTTGACGACTTGTGGACTGTTCAACTGCAACACCCGCTGACTGCAATGATAGAGCTTGGAATAGCCAGGACAATTTTTAATATAACTCCGACTGGATTCGTCTGAAAGAAGAAAGTCATATACACCTAGGATGCTTCGAGGGTGAGTAAAACACAAACCAATTTTCATTTTTGGGTGAACTAACCCTTTAACACTGTCAAGTCACTGGAATTATTGATGGAAAATTATTATTATTATTAATTTCTAGAGATCTTAAATACAATATGTACTAATATACATAAAACCACAAATAATAAAGGTTGTATATTATACAGACAGAATTGCTGTATCAATTGTCAGTGGGATGTTCAACGTAACTATAATATTGTTCTCTCTCTATTTCTTAATGTGTCTTTTCTCTCTCTGTGATGGTATAGGAAATCATGGAAATTCCTTCAACATTGATCAGTCTTTAGGCATTGTAACAGTTGCAAGAGAACTTGATCGTGAATACAAAGACCAATATGAATTGGTAATTAAAGCATCAGATAAAGGAGAGCCTCCTCTCAGTGTGGTTACAACTATCAAGGTCACGGTCAATAGCTTGGATAATACCAAGCCAAAGTTCCCCTTCAATTCAATATCAGCTGAAGTCAGTGAATCTGTCGCTGTTGGGAGTTTTGTAACTTTAGTCTCAGCCTTCAGTCAATCAACCATCAACTATCAGATCAAAGAGGGAAATGTGAACAGTGCGTTTGACATCAATCCAAACTCTGGTGCTGTCATCACACGGAAAAAACTGGACTTTGAAAGCCTTTCGTCATATAAACTGATTGTGCAAGGGTCAGACATGGCTGACAGGTCAAGCAGCGTCACAGTCAACATTCATCTAAAAGATGAAAATGACAATGCTCCTGTTTTCACTCAACCTGAATTTACTGGCTTCATCAGTGAGTCAGCCATGGTCATAAGTGTAGTTCTGACCTCTCAGAATGTTCCACTTGCTGTTCGTGCAACAGATGCTGATCAAGACTCAAACGGCAGGCTTGTTTATGAGATTGTGCAGCCATTTGCTCATAACTATGTTTCTATTGATTCTGGGACCGGAGCTATTCAAACTCTCAGCAACTTGGATTATGAGCAGAGAAAGGTGTTTAACTTCCAAGTTCAGGTCCATGACACTGGAGCGCCACGTTTGTTTGCTCAAAACACGGCCAATGTGACTATATACGTCATTAACGTCAATGATTGTGCTCCAAAATTCACTCAGGATTCATATGAGACAACACTCCTCCTTCCAACCTACAAAGGGGTTAAAGTGACAACAGTAAAGGCTACAGATGAGGACTCATTGCCAGACACCAAACTGCACTTTGAACTTGTAGATGGCAACATAGGAAACAAATTCCTGCTTGATTCAACTTCAGGTGATATTTTTGTGCAAAATGCTACACAGTTGCGGAGCAGGTACAGACTGACAGTCCAAGTCTCTGATGGAAGCTTTACTGGCACTGCAACTGTTAAAGTCAGTGTTAAAGAAAATAAAGGTCACAATTTGAAGTTTACTCATGAAATTTTCACCGCCTATGTGCAGGAAAACTCAGTGGAGAAGAAAACCTTGGCAATCCTCTCTGTAGTTGGATATAGAGTCAATGAGCCTTTGTTTTATTCTATTCTCAATCCTAACAGCAAATTTGAAATAGGACGCACATCTGGAGTGCTCTTCTCCACAGGCATCCCATTTGATCGTGAAGAGCAGGATTTATTTGAAATGTTTGTGGAGGTTATAAAAGAGCCAAGGTTAAACGGTACCGCCCATGTGCTTGTGAGAGTTCATGTTGAAGATGTGAATGATAATGCCCCCGTCTTTGTAGATCAGCCCTATAACGTCATTGTTCCGATCGAAAAAAACGTGGGTTCAGTTTTCAGGAAGGTGACCACCGTGGACAAAGATATAGGCAGAAACGCAGAGGTTACATACTATTTGAAAGGTCATGATAAATATTTTCAGGTAAGCCCTTCTGGAGAAATCTCTCTTAAGAGACCTCTTGAGCTCAAAAGCGTTGGCAAATTCGTCATTAACATCGCCGCACAAGACGGAGGCGAACCACCGCTGTTTTCAAAAGCAGAGGTTGTTATTTCAGTGGTAAACAAAGCTACACCAGTGTTTGAAAGACCTTTTTACAAGATTGAAATCCCTGAGAATGTGCAAGTGCGTACTTCTGTATTCCAAGTAGTGGCCAATCAATCTGCAGGACCTCGTACGGTCTACAGCATCTGTGGGGGAAACCCATTCAATCAGTTCTACATTCATTTCAATTCTGGACTCATTGAAGTCATCCAGCCATTGGATTATGAGGCTCATCCTGCATATCGGTTATGCATCCAGGCAACAGACTCTCTAACCGGGGCCAACTCTGATGTTTTCGTAGATATCATATTGGAAGACGTCAATGACAATGCACCCAAATTTGAAGCGGCAGTGTATAACATTAGCTTCTCTGAATCTGTTGTAACTGGAACCTCTGTGCTACAAGTGGTAGCCATGGACTCTGACACAGGAAGCAATGCAATATTGTTTTATCAGTTGTATGAAAAAGATGGAGCCACTTCAGATTACTTCAGAATAGATGTTGAGAGTGGAGTCATTTGGACTGCAGGGCTATTGGACCACGAGACCCAATCACAGCATGAACTTACTGTAAAAGCAGTTGACCGTGGAGTGTTTCAGCTGTCTGCTGAGGTCCAAGTGATCATATATGTAACAGATCTTAATGACAACCCGCCTGTTTTTTCACACCAGCTTTATAATGCCACCATAAGTAAGATTTCTTCTCCAGGGCAGCTTGTGACCTGTGTTAAAGCATATGATGCTGACAGCCGTGGAACCAGTCAGCTTGAGTATGCTATTTTGTCTGGAAATGACAACAATGTCTTTGCCACTGATGCGTCAAGTGGAGAAATTGTGATTGCCAACATCAACCAACAGTCACTTGAGCACTTCTACAGCTTAATTTTGTCAGTAACTGATGGTGTATTTAGAAGTACTGCTGAGGCAAACATCTATATGATGGGCGAGAACAGCCACAGCCCATCATTTACCCAGGATGAGTATGTTATTGAGCTCGCTGAGAACTCTCCAGTTGGTACATTGATTGGACAAGTTGAAGCCACTGACAAAGACCCAGGGATATATGGACAGTTGACATTCTTCATTGTAAATGATATTGCCAGGGATAAATTTACCATCGACGATGATGGCCGGATTCACACAGTAGAGTGTTTTGACAGAGAAAATCCAGACGAAAGAACAATTAGCATCAGTTTAATGGCTAAAGATGGCGGTGGTCGATTAGGCTTTTGTACTGTTATTATAATTATCTCTGACCTGAATGACAATTCACCCAAATTCAGGCTTTCAGAATATAAAGTTACTGTGCCGGGAGATGCTTCCAGTGGTACGACAGTGATCAAAATATCTGCAGTAGATGAAGATGAGGGAAGTAATGCTGATATCATTTACACTATTGATTCTGATATAGGGCACTTCGAAATTCATCCACTTAGTGGTGCAATTGTCACAAAGGAAAGTCTAATTGGACTGGAAAAGGGCCTCTATTCCTTATTTGTGAAGGCTAAAGATTCTGGAAGCCCACCAAGGCAATCTGTTATTCCAGTTTCAATTAGAATAGTTCCCTCTGAAACATCAATCCCAAAGTTTGCGGAGCCGTCACTGTGGCTGGAGCTTTCAGAAGACCTGGCTGTCGGAACTGAGATGGATATCTTCCAAACCGAGAATGAGCGGCCTGTGATCTACAGCCTTGTTGGAGGGAACACCCCCGAGAGTAACAAAGATGATGTCTTTGCTATTGACAGCAGTACTGGAAAGCTTACACTCACAAAAAGACTGGACTATGAAACTATTAAAAGGTATCAGCTTGCAGTCCAGGTCCAAGATGCTGAAGATAGCATAGAAATGGTCTCAACTATAGATGTGAGTATCCATCTCAAGGATGTCAATGATAACAGCCCACAATTTGAGTCCTACCCCTACCAGTCATATATTGTTGAAAACCTACCGAAAGGGACTTCTGTAGTGCAGGTAAAGGCAACTGATCTGGATTCCTGGCTGAATGGTCAGGTCACTTATACTCTGCATGAAATCCAGGAGTGCCCTGACATTCTGCAGATGTTTACATTGGACAGTGTCACGGGCTGGATAACCACCCTCAAAGAGATAGACAGAGAAAAGACAGACCGATATCGAATCACGGTGCTGGCCACAGACCGAGCCCAAGGGCTACAGATGACAGGCACTACTGTTGTAGAAGTGACAGTTGTGGACACAAATGACAACCCTCCGTTATTTACTGAAGCAGTTTTTAAAGGCACTGTGAGAGAAGATGAATCTACAACAGGAACAGTTGTTACTATTCTCAGCTCTACTGATTCTGACAGTGAGGAGGTCAACAGGAGGTGCAGCTGCTTTATCACAGGTACACTGTCCATGCTACTAAGTGAAACCAGTGAGCTTCATAAGATTAAAAGAGATCACCATAAATGTCATCATTTACCCATCCTCATGCTCTGGGTTATATAGAAGCCCGTTTCTGCCACTGAATAAATAAAAAGGCAATTGTGACTTTATCTCAAAATTCTGACTTTTTTTCTCGCAATTACATCTCGCAACTCTGACTTGTTTTCTCAGAACTGCGTGATATAAACTCGCAATTGAGTTATAAAGTCAATAAACTTTTTTCTCAGAATTAAGACTTTATAACACACAATTCTGAGGGAAAAAAAAGTCAGAATTGAGAGTTTGTATCATGAGATGTAAACTCATAATTGCAAGAAAAAAAGTCTGAATTGTGAGATAAAAACTCGCAATTACCTTTTTGATTTTTAATTCAGTGGTGGAAACAGGCTTCCATAGTGATATTTTTGTTGCTGTAACACAAAAAGAAGAATGTCCAGACTCTTCAGACTGCCCAGAAATCAAACCATACAGTTTTTACACTATTATTCTACTAGTGTTTTTTCATTTAAGATCTGTTTATATTGTGTTAAATATTATGCATCATGAACAGCATTTTCATTTTTGGGTGAACAATCCCTTTAACTTTGACAACCCTAAAAATACATGGTGTAAAATATTTTTATTTTCTATTTTCCTTCTTGACCCCCTAAAACCCCCTTGCGGACCCTGGAACCACTTTGAAAACCATTTGTCTAAAGCCATACAATAACTTTGAGAAACAGACCAAATTTTTATTTTTAGGTGAAATATCCCTGGTATAGAAACTGGTATTGGCATTTCAACATGATCATTTTGTGAGGCGTTTATTAACCTTTGGATAGTTAGCAAAGAAATTACAGACCTAACGACAAACTCAATTGCTGGATGTTATGAATAATCTATGATATTTATATGAGTGTTTTGTATTATACTGAAGCTGATTAGAGATATTCAGAGCATCTTGTTATTGTCCTCAGTTTCATTACATCACCTGATTAGTATCTTGTTTACAGCTAGAAATACAATGAATCTCCAAGCTGTGTAGAATGATGCTAACGCATGATGATTTGACTGCTAATCTCCTTATTAAATACTTCTGATTAGACCAAAGTTAATTTTTCCTTGTTTAATGTATTCAGGTGGAGACCCGCAGGGCCTGTTTGATGTGAAGCACACAGATGGTGTTTGGGTGGTCGCTGTCAAAAAAACCCTGGACAGGGAGGAGAGAGAATTCTATCTTTTAAACATCACAGCCATCGATGGAACCTTTGAGACAAAGGCTACCATAGAGATCACTGTCCTTGATGCAAATGACAACAGTCCCGTTTGTGAGAAGGCATGATGTATATATTAATTATACCCTGAGCTCTTTATTCTGAACTGTGCAGAGAACTTTTAATTAATACATTTTAGACAAATTTTTTTTTACAGAGAATTTTGTTTTTACAAAGTGACTTCTGCAGTGTCAGTTTAAATTGAAATCCACTTTTGTTCTCAGGATGTGTATACTCAAACTGTTCCTGAAGATGCACTTGTTGGAAGACAAATTCTTCAAGTCTCAGCCATCGATGCAGATATCCAGTCAAATGCAGAAATCACGTACCAGCTGAGTGGCAGTGGAGCTGAATCATTCACAATTGATGCCAAAACAGGTAAAATAAGCAAATGGGAAATATATAGTCATTCAAGCCTGCATTTTTATGTAAAGCAAGAGGTTAAGTGTCTGATTCAAGGTCATAATGGCAGTAGCTCATTGATCACTCCTTGCCTGGCTCAAGCCCACAACCTTGTGTTTATCGGTCCTGATTGGTATCGACTTTAATGCATTCAGTGTTTAATGTGAATAGCAATTTTCATAGTACCTATTGTTCCAAAGCCACTTTACATAGAAACCCCTTAAAACCCCAAGTGAACAAGCCAAACATGAATGTGGCAAGGAAAAACTGTAAGACTGTAAATGTAAGGATGAGAAGGAATCACTCAAAAGAATGTTCCCATCCTTTCTCTTGCCGACATGTTTAAAGAGTACCTATTAATGTATTTAAATAAAAACAAAACTGTTCAAAAGTTTGGGGTTGGTAAGATTTTTTATGTTTTTGAAAGAAGTCTCTTACAATCTCTCAGGCTGCATTTATTTGATCAAAAATAAGTAGAAACGGTGATATATTGGGGGAAAAAATACAAATATATTATTTCTATTATAATATATGTAATCTATTGTAATTTTTTTTTTCCTGTGATGGCTAAGCTACATTTTCAGCATCATTACTCCAGTCTTCAGTTTCACTTGATCCTTCAGTAATCATTTTAATATGCTGATGCTTAAGAAACATTTCTTATTATCAATGTTGAAAACAGATAGAAATAGAAATAGAAAGATAAATAGAAATCTTTAGTAACAGTATGTCTTTACTGTCTCTTTTGATCAATTTAAAGGGATAGTTCACCAAAAAATGAAAATTACTCCGTGATTTACTCAGCCTCAAGCCATCCTAGGTGTATATGACGTTCTTCTTTCAGACGAATACAATCGGAGTTATATTAAATAATGTCCTGGCTCTTCCAAGCTTTATAATGGCAGTGAATGGCTGTCAAGATTTTGAAGCAAAATAAAGTGCATCCATCCATCCATTATAAAAAGTACTCCACATGGCTTCGGGGGGTTAACACAAACGCATTGATTCACTTCAGAAGGCCTTTATTAACCCCCCGGAGTACTTTTTATGATGGATGTATGCACTTTATTTTGCTTCAAAATCTTGACCACCATTCCCTGCCATTATAAAGCTTAGAAGAGTCAGGATATAGGATGGCTTGAGGGTGAGTAAATCATGGGGTAATTTTTATTTTGGGGTGAACTATCCCTTTAATGCATGCTTGCTGAATAAATTTCTTTCTTTATTAATTTCTTAAAAAAAAAAGTACTGACTCCTAAACCTTTGAACGGTAGCATAAATATTCATATCTTTCTTCTAGGTGCAGTGAGAACACTGGTAACCCTGGACAGAGAGATGACAGATATGTACAATCTAACTGTGCGTGCAGTGGACGGAGGCGATCGTTTCTGCCAAGCTTCTGTGCTCATAACAGTCGATGACGTTAATGACAATGCCCCCAAATTCACATCTGAAAAACATCATGTTAGTATTTTTCAGAATACACAACCTGGGACGTACGTGGCACGGCTAGAGGCTTTCGATGCAGATACTGGTATGAACAACTTTACAACATTATCAACCATTTCTGTTGTTTCCTAACAATGTTTGTTTAAATTCCCTCATACAATCATGAAGAACAATTTGTTAGACTGTAGTTAGATGTACAGTAGTTGTTTCCAGCAGTGTGTATCTTGATTTAAGCTGTTGTTGCATCAGTAGTTTTTAGTCAATGCCATCTTTTTCTCTGTGTGTCATTTCATCACTCTCATCTTCACTCAGCGTGCAGCGTTCCCTGACAATGGGACAGCTGAATATAATCTTTGCTCCTCATGCATAATTGTCTTTTCTCCCTACAAAGGTAACAATTACTTTCTCGCAGTGGTATGCACTGTAATTTTCTGCAGATAATTTGAACTTTCTGCCTCTGAATTAAAGTTCAGATCACTTTTTCCTTTTCTGACATCTAAAGTGACTGTTGCGTTTGACTTCAAATTATTATTGAATTATTTTTGTCCATCTGGGCTTCAGTCTCAACACTAAATGGCGAGATGCCCATCTCCTTTGTTCAGATGAAGTTACATGCATACTTTCCATTCTCTGCCGCATCATTACTCTTCAAAGCTTGGTCACTTGAAGGCCTGTCTGTCTTGCAAACACTATTGTGGGTACTAATGACTAAAGTTAACAACTACCCGGATGGATGTCTTGTAATTAGTGGTACTTTCAGAAATTACCATCAACAAGATGTGTTCATGAGCATTTGCTGATTGGAGGGGAGATTGTGAAGTGATTAATTCCAATTCACTCAGCTGTCATCGTAGGATTGTTATAGGCGCTAATTATTTAGAGCCAATTAGGCTGGACGACCGGGCGACACTAACAACAAGGTCTGCTCTCATTGCACTAATGAGCATATAAACTGCAAATTAACCCAACAAGAAGCAATCAGATCATATTTATGCCATCCTGCTCCACTATAATATGAAACAGACTAGAGGAATAGGCTCATTTTTGCATCCCTTGGGTTTCATTGCAAGTCCAGACACTCTCCTTATGCCGGGTTCAGACTACATGATATTTTTGTCGGTCACGATAGTCACTGTGTCAGATTACACGATTTTGACTCCTAAAATCTTGTCATGTCGTGGACAAGAAACATGTCAGACTATACGTTGCTTCCCGACCATTCATCGCGTAGATGCGGAATCGGTTGTCGTCCACTATGACACACTACACGTGCTGAAACGATGGAATCTTGCATCCCGACGCCCATTGTCGTTTACGAATCCCCACGACACCCTACGTCAAGCAAATCGTGGCAAAATCGGGCTAAACCGTGTAGTCTGAACTGGGCATTAGAGTGTTATCATTTCAACCCACTCATGATTTAATGATATAATGATATGCTTATGCCCACTTCTACTCAATTTAAGTCCAATTTTTCAACTTGTTTACTCTTCTCAACTATGTGTCTTTATTTTAGGCTGCATTTTTGTCATGAAGCATCATGAATTTAATTACAAAGAGCATAAATCACAGCACAAATCACTGTTTCTCTTGTTTACAGTAAGTGCAAAATTCAGTTTTTTTTTTAACAGAGAAAGACTGTAAAAATGCTATAGAAAAAAGTGTTAGCTGGTTAACTGTAAGTTACCTGACCATATACAGTGAAAAACTGTAAATTTAACATCACGTGTAATTTTACAGTAAAACTGAAGTAAAATCTATGAATTACCTATATATATATATATATGTATGTATGTGTGTGTGTGAAAGGACATTCACAGAAGTCTCTGTGTGGCACATCTCATTATTATTATTTTTTTTATTTGAATAGTTTCTTGCTTTTGTCATCAGTGATGTACATGATGATGTTTTGTGTTAAACTTTCTGTTATTTAGTTAATGTTTATTTAAATATTTTAATACCCTGATGGTGTTTTGTGTTTATGACCAAGTGCACAGTCTACCATGTATATGAGTTTTGGCCATGATTTATGGACAGGCCACATATGATGATGCATCATGCCTTTTTCAACACGGATGCCATTTTTTTTAAACCGTAAATTTAACAAGATATTTTTTATATTGAGTGGTTTGAGAGATGGGTGCTGACATCTCATATATCCCACAGAACCACAGCTCTGGCATATTAAGCTATTTAAACAACCACCTATAAACCTTATATTGTTAACCAATAAAAAAAGTAACTCAATTTCTGCTATAAACAAAGGGCTTTCAATGAAAGAATGAAAAGAGGACTTGTGTGAACACTCAACATACTAAATTGACTTTTTCAATTATTCAATTCAATTCAATTCAAAACACTACAGGGAACTGAGAACTTTAAAAACTACTCTGAGACAGACTGCTTCCGCCAACAACCACCTGTTCCCAGCCTACACACCAGAGTCTCATGCTGCCACAAATCTAATACGGGCCTTTAGAAATCTAATGCAGGCCTCCAGAACTGACCTTTCCTAATACTCTTTCTTGTTTCTTTATCTCCAGGGATGAACGGTAAAATACGTTACTCGTTTGAAGACTCTGCCGGAGGTCTGTTTTCAATCGAGGAGAGCTCAGGAATTATCAGTTTAGAAAGGTCCCTGGACAGACAGACTAAAGCCATGCATGTGCTGAGGGTACGAGCGACAGACCAGGGCTCCCCTCATAGACTGTCCTCTCTCAACTCTGTGGTGGTGACAGTGCTGGACACTAATGACCATCCACTGGTGTTTGAGCATAGGGAATACGTTTCCACAGTTCCTGAGGATGTTACGATAGGGAAAAAGCTTCTGAATGTCTTTGCTGCAAGCAGGGACCGGGAAATTACTTCCCAGACAATGTACTCTATCACTAGCGGCAACGAGCAAGGAGCTTTCCGAATTGATTCACAGACAGGGATTTTACTGTAGCATTTTTACAGTATTTTACCGTTAAATTCACGGTCATTTTTTACAGTGCACATAACACCACCATGGCAAACAACACTAAACAACCTACCATCCAGTTCTCCAAGAACAACCTATCAACTGCATAACAACTTACTTAAGAGCCCAGAACACCTCAACAACTACAAAGTAAAATGGCAAAAAACACTCATGACATCCAGGGCCATACACAGGTTTTTATAAATACTGAGGTCCAAAAACTGAGGTTATTTTTGATTTTTTTTAATTGCATTTTAAGAAGTTTCAAGGACAAAAAAAGAACAATTTATGACAAACGTTAATTGTTTGTCAAGCAGAAAGCAGATTCTTACACATGAGAATCAGGTTAAATGTTTGAATGAATTATCCACACTACAAACTGAAAACACAGAAGGGTTAAATATTAAAAATAATTTAGTAAAATTATACTTCCTTTATTTCAGCATTTTGGATTTAAATTATAGAAATGTGTCTCAAACAGTACATAAACATTAGCGGAATGTGTTTTATATTATGAATTTGTAGGAGCATAAATGTTCAAATAGCTTCAGCAACATGTTTCTTTCCTGAATTAAACAATGTTTTCAAAGTCTCAGTGACTGTGTCAGTGACATATGGTCAACTGATATTTTATGTATACTGTATGTTTTATGAAACCTTTTATTAGACAAATGAATTTACCTACAGCTACCAGGTATATAGTTTATTAAATTCATTAACAATATGTGCACATTCATTAGGCATCATAAAATGCTGAAAACAACTCTGTTAATGTTTCTCGTCTCATCACATTGACAATTACGAATTAAATGAATAATGAATTAATATAGCCTATATTAAATTCATAAGGCGAAATTGTCACGGTTCATGGGTTCACTGACTCATTTTCGCTCTGTGTGTGTGAGTGGGTGTGTCGGTGATTGCTGCTGATTGTTGATCTGCGCCAGCTGTCTTTCCGAATTGATTCACAGACAGGGGACACACACACACGCGCACACACACACACACACACACACACACACACACAGTTTCCCCTCTGACTCCACTGTAAATGTTTGTGTTTGCAGGTGACATCTTTGTGATGGAGCCGCTGGACTATGAGGTGTCTCCACAGCACTACCTGACAGTGAAGGCCACCACCAGAGGAAAACAGTCACTCAGTGACACAGCTAGTGTTACTATTCACCTCCTTGACATCAATGACAACAGCCCCATGTTCAGCCAGAAGATCTACTCAGCTGTAGTCAGTGAGGACGCCAAACTTGAGAGTACAGTGCTGACGGTAAGTGTTTTGCATGTGTTTGCATTAAATTACACTGTATCTTTGAAGTGGTCCATTGTGTAGGCAGTTATGTATTGCAGTATGTATGGCAGTTATGTTTCAGGTTCTCTCTACACTTCCACTTCACAATATGGTCTGTTTTTATATGCAACAAGTTTACAACCACTTTTTTTTTTTTTTGTCACAGCTTAGTATTTTCATAGTTAATAAAACCCAAACAAACAGAACACCCCTGCTGGTTTAAACTGGAAGTAGCTGTTTTTAGCTGGTCTCCCAGCCTGGCCAAGCTGGTCTAATCCAGCTATAACCAGCTTAGCCGTTTTTTATTTTCTGTTCTTAATACAACATGCTTTAAGAACATTCAGAACACCTTATTAACCACACTGTAAAAAAAATCCGTAAAATTTACGGTAGAAAACCGGCAGCTGTGGTTGCCGGAATTTTACCGTAAAAAATACGGTAGCAACGTTTTAGGTTTTACGGTTTTAACTTAAATTTACAGTTAAATACCGTAATTTCATTAACTGATAAAATTTTATTATATACCAACCTATTGAAGTACTAAAATCTGTTTTGTACCTTTGTAATACACTGATAACCACCAAAAGCAGGTGGTGATGAGAAAGTCACATGATGAAACAAAGCCCATCACAAGCAGCTTTTAAATAATAACATATATAGAAGGTGCACAGTGTCATTCACACAAACACCAAACACCATCATGGTAACACACATGAAACTGAAATAATGCAATAAACATTCAACAACATGAAATTAGACAAAAGTTAGTTTGCATCCCTGATTATACCATATCTGTCAATTATTTAACATTTCTATTGTAAAACATCTATCAATTATTAAATATTTAGTTTAGCTTCTTGCATCGTATCTCTCAACTGAAGAGTCACACTGGAATTTGACTCGGTAGCATCTGTGAACAGTAAAGCCCACCTACTTTGACTTGATGGGTCATCTTAAACATTTCGATGTTGACGAGTGTTATTGGAGCTCTAAAGCAGCTCGTGAGAAAGTCGGCTATCTTGGTGCTGTGCGATATCCTTGATGCACTAAAGTAGAGTTAATATTAGGCAATTCTTTCATTGTATACACTGGAAAAAAATACTGAATTCTGGACCTCGGGGACCTCAATGGTGGGTACAGCCATGATAACACCTTACCAAGCGGATAGCACCACCCTGGCAACCATCAAGAACATCCTAGCAACCGCATAGCACATCTTTAACATCCACCCTGAACACTTTGGCATTGTGCCGACAAGTTTCGGGCAAGCAGGCACCACATTAATCTAGTTAAAATGATGAAATTGTATTTTGATTGTGTTGCTAAACCAATATATAAAATGTGTGGCATATGGTTTATGTGAGATTAACAGATTTTCATCAAGTGTAATGATCCCTGTCCTTAGGTACTAGCGAATGATTTTGATGGGCCTTTAAACAACCGGATCCACTATTCCATTGAGAACAACCAAACATGTCCATTCATCATGGATGCAGGCAGTGGTGAACTGCGACTGGTCCATCAGTTGGACAGGGAAAAGGTAATGCTTTTTGAATAACATCTTCCTCCTTGACTACAGCTTCACAGGCCTTGACAACAGTGTTCCTAATTCCTTGCAAAAGCCAAGGATGAATCCATCTTTTCCGCCTTTTTCATCTCGGTTAAATTAGGTAGCGAGTTACATGCTGACCGTTCTGGCTTCCGACAGTGGAAATCCCCCCCAAATCCGACAGCGCTGCAATCAACGTGATCGTGTCTGATGTGAATGATAACCCCCCTGTCTTCTCTCAGGCTAACTACAGTCTCATCATCCAGGCAAGACCACACTCTCCCATAGAGTAGAGCAAATTAAATCCTACACTCTCTTTCCTAAACTCCATGCCTGAGATCTCAGTGAGAGGTGATGTTATAATCTCTGTTCGTTTGGAGTGATTCTGGATATCTTTCTCTCTTCTGTAGGAGAATCTGCCTTCAGGGGCCACAGTGTTACAGCTCAATGTGACAGACAATGACTCCCCTCAAAATGGGCCTCCTTTCTCCTTTAGTTTTCCAAAGGGTGATGAGTCAAGCTCATTCAGCGTAGACCAGCAGGGTGTGGTAAAGACCGCTGGACCACTGACAAAGGGTCAGCATATACTCCAAGTGCAGGTGAGAACTGAGCTTTGTTCATTTGTTGGGACTTCATGGACACCTGTGGGTGCTTCACAAATAGCCAGGGGACCCTCACTGATAGAGTGCAACAGCGACTTCTTTAGCAGAATGGGGTTCCCTAAGTATACATTTTTCCCTTAGGAATTAAAAAATAATAGCCTTAAACCAAACCAACCAAATTAATTAAAGCAAAAATGTGTCTGAAATCATAAAAAATACAAGGTAGTTATTTGCAGACACACTGGGTTCATGACACGTTGGACAAACTATGCATGATTAGAGGATGATAACCTGATTTTTAGGCTGAGAACAGCATGAATTTTTGTAAACCCCCCAAAAATCTAAAATATTAATAAGTCTTTGATTTGATACCAAAATGTACCTGTTAGTGGAAGATTCCATTGTGTTATGTGATGCAGACATTTGTAAAGAGTCATGTGTTAAAAGTTCCCTCTTGTGTTGAACAAGTGTCATAGCAGGCCAGTGAAAACACTTTTACAGCCTCCCTATCCACAATGCTCAGTCCTATAGTCCAGTAATATTGGCAGAATTTAGTTAGATACATAATTATAGCTTACTTATTCTAACGTATAGACCAATTTTATATTTCATAGATATTATGTCACATTTTGTATTTACTTTACTGTTAAAAAATTGGGGGTCAGTAAGACAGAAAGAAAAAGAAAACAAAAAGAAAGAAATTAATATTTGTAATTCACCAATGATGCATCAAATTGAACAAACGTGACAGTAAAGACATATATGTAATTTAAAAAAATATTTCTATTTCAAATAAATGCTGTTCTTTTGAACTTTCTATTCATCAAAAAATCCTGAAGTGCATCATTTCCACAAAAATATTTAGCAGCCCACCTTTTTAAAACTTTGATAATTATAAGAAATTTTTCTTGAGCTGCAAATCAGTATATTAGAATGATTTCTGAAGAATCATGTGATGCTGATATTATATTATATTATATTAATTTATTTAAATGAAAACCTTAAGTTAGTCATTGCTTAAAATATGAATTGTCGTATGTTCAAATATGAATTAAATAAAAATACAAAAAAGTTTCATTGAATTTTAACTATTTGTATTTACTTTAACATATATTCTGTCACGCATTATATATGTTTGTTAGGGTTATTAATAAAAGTTAATGTAAATTGTTACCTTAGTCTAAAATCTAAAAGGAAAATCTTCTGTGTCTGATTTCAGGTGTCTGACAATGGAAGGCCTCCACTGAAATCAGTCACATCTCTCAGTGTGCTTGTAGTACAGACAAGTGTGTATCCTCCATCTGTGCTTTCTCTGGATGTTTTCATCATGATCTTGGAAGATGAGTATTTAGGAGGCATGCTGGGCAAGGTCCACGCCACAGATCAAGATGAATATGATATGCTCACATTCAGTCTGGAGCCACAGTCACACAGCTTGTTCTCTGTCGTTGGCACGGATGGCAGACTGTTGGCCTGCGGAGGCTTGGACGTGGGTCATTACCAGCTTAATGTCTCAGCCAGTGACGGCCGTTTCTCAGCCTTAGCCAGTGTTACAGTGAATGTGCTGCGGGTCACAGAGCAGATGCTGGACAGTTCTGTTTCTGTGTGCTTTGCTGGCATCGCTGCAGAGGATTTTATTCAGGACCACTGGAAAAACTTCCAAAAAGCAGTCCGCAGTATCGCCGGAGTCCGCAGGGGCACCATGCAGTTGATCAGTCTACAGACTGCAGAAACTGGCGACAGCCTGGATGTTCTTCTGTTCTTTGAGAGATCAGGACGAGGTGGCAGCTCGCTGGAAGCCCTCTCTCAGAAGCTCAGCTCTTCCAGAGCAGCCATCAAAGAGATGACAGGACTACATGTAGTGCGGGTTTTGAATAGTCAGTGCTCAAGCTTTGAGTGTCCTGGCAGTATGTGTAGACGAGTGGTCCTGCTTAACCAGACCAGTATGGCCACATACAGCACTGCCCGAGTGAGCTATGTCACACCCAGACACCACATGACAGCCAAATGCCTGTGCACAGGTATGCAATGTTACCATCATAAACTGGGTAACAGTCTATAAAGCTGTTGCATTTTGAATTGTGAAATAAAATAAAAATAAAAAAAAAACATTTTTTCAATTTGTAAATAATAATAATAATAAATATTATGAATACTTAATTTTTACCTAATTAGATTTTGATTATTAGTATTATTATTTGTACTTTTATCATTAAAATAAATATTTCTACACAATAATAATAATAGTTCTAGAGGTATAAAAGAATATTAAATCATGGCTTGTTTTTACACTCTTATTTTAAAAAAGTTTATTTTTTTATTTATTTTTAGAATGAATTGCACAATTATTATTAATAATAATAACAACAACAACAACAATAATTCTAGTTTTAGAGAGATAAAAGAATATAAAATTATGATTTGTTTTCATGGTGTTTGATTAAAAAAAAAAAAAAAATTTAACAATCCCTAACAAAACCAACAATTTTTGTTATTTGTACTATTATCATTAATAATAATAATATTTTTTACAATTGTATTTTTATTATTATTTGTACTATTATTATTAATGCAAATATTAATAAATAATAATAGTAGTAGTAATAATAATAGTTGCTGTTGTAATAATAAAAGTACAAATATTTGTAGAAATTATTACAATTATTATATTGTGTAATGATGCTTTGACAAATAATAATAACAACAACAACAACAATAATTCTAGTTTTAGAGAGATAAAAGAATATAAAATTATGATTTGTTTTCATGGTGTTTGATTAAAAAAAAAAAAAAAATTTATACAATCCCTAATAAAACCAACAATTTTTGTTATTTGTACTATTATCATTAATAATAATAATATTTTTTACAATTGTATTTTTAGTATTATTTGTACTATTATTATTATTAATGCAAATATTCATAAATAATAATAGTAGTAGTAATAATAATAGTTGCTGTTGTAATAATAAAAGTAAAAATATTTGTAGAAATTATTACAATTATTATATTGTGTAATGATGCTTTGACAATATTGTATGTAAAACAATAAAGTCTATAAAGTACATTTGTTGAATTTCAACTTACGTTTTTTTTTTTTTTTCAGACAGAAAGTGCCTGAAGCATGAAACCACTTGTGTAAACAGCCCATGTCCAGAGGGCTATGAGTGTGTGTCAGGCTTTGGGAAAGACAAACACAGCTGCATATGCACAGGTGCTGCCAAAGTCAAATGCTCAGGTAACAGTGAATTAATTTCCTTATCTGAGAAGACAGTGTCATTCGAGCCGTTCATGTCAGACTGGGGAGAGAGGTGTTGTAATAATGTAAAATATGTGAAAAATAATGTGTTTTTCGAACAACGTAGTATGAGAGCCTGTTCTAGTACACCCCCAAAACAAAATCAAGACTTTGTAAAAGAGCATAATAGGACCCCTTTAATGCAGAGAATGGCAGCTTCTCTTGAGTAAGATCTATGAGGTGTTTAACAGTAAATCATCTACATTATAAAAGACGTGAGTTTCTTCAGCTGAGAAATGGGTATCCTTTATTATATCCTTAACGAGAATGTCATAACAGTTTTAATTCTTCCACAGTGTTATACTTCTTTTGTTAGAGTAATTATAATTGATGTATTTTACTATTACAAAGACATTATAATGGTAACCTTAATTTCTGCCAAAATACCATTTTGTAAAAACCATACTGAGTGATCAGTTTTATTTTAGAATCGATGACTGTAGTTATTATGCAGCTAAAGGCAAAATGCAGTAAATGTACACTGAGTCAAAACTGAACTCTGGCTGTTATCAGGTCTCTTATACTATAATCTGTCCGTTAAGTTACCAGTTAGCTCAACTATGTAAAAAAAAAAAAAAGTAAAAATCAATCAATCAAAAAGCAATTTTCTCAGTTCCAGTGTTGCTGTAGTGACTGTATTTTGCTTGTGTATGGCAGTATGATATTGTGGTGGAAGCATTAGTTAATCCTTTTAGTATGGTCTACAATTTTCCATTGCTTAAAATTATTTAGTAAGTCATTTATTATTACAGCCAGTTTTAAGGTGTGTAAAACAGACATAAGCAACCAGGATCCCAACTTAAATGTCATCTGTTTTTATTTTAATTTATTTACTACTATCTGTATTCTGTTTTTTCTGTTCCAAGGAGGATCTTCAATGACATTTAATGAAAGCAGCTACATTAAATATCGCCTGAGGGAAAGTATGAGAGAAGTGAAGCTCACGCTCAAGTTAAAAACTCTCTCAAGAGAAGGAACAGTAATGCTTGCCAGAGGAAGAGGCCACAGTGTTTTAGAGGTATAAAAGAATATTAAAATACAGTACCGTATACATAAACCCTAATAGAATCAGATGTCCCTACAGGTGCATCTCAATAAATTAGAATGTCATGGAAAAGTTCATTTCAGTAATTCAACTCAAATTGTGAAACTCGTGTATTAAATAAATTCAATGCACACAGACTGAAGTAGTTTAAGTCTTTGTATTGGTCTTATGGAGTATTCTAATTTGTTGAGATAGTGAGTTGGTGGGTTTTTGTTAAATGTGAGCCAAAATCATCACAATTAAAAGAACCAAAGACTTAAACTACTTCAGTCTGTGTGCATTGAATTTATTTAATACACGAGTTTCACAATTTGAGTTGAATTACTGAAATAAATGAACTTTTCCACGACATTCTAATTTATTGAGATGCACCTGTAGATAAGTCTGAAAACAGCTTAAACTAGTCTAGGGTGTTCTTTATGATGGTTTTAGAGTGTTTTGTGGCAGGCTGGGAAACTAAATAACTAAACCATTTTAAACCAGCTTAGACCAGAAAATCACCTTAAGCTGGTTTAAGCTGTTTCTTGGCAGTGTACTTTGGATGATAGCAACTTTATTTTTCCATTTCACCTAAATTTTGCCATTAGATTTCTTAATATTGACTGCATGTTTTCCTTAGATAGTGGGCGGCCGACTGCAGTTCCAGTTGGATTGCGGCTGGGGTCTCGCTACAGTTTCTGTGCACAGTGTCCTGGTGAATGATGGCCAGTGGCACATGGCAGAACTTGAGGTGAAGGGTAACTATGCCAGGCTGATTCTGGATCAGCTCCATTCTGCATCAAGCATCGCGCCCGGTCCCCTCCACTGCCTCAATCTGGGCGACCAGGTGGTCCTGGGTGGACACGCTCAACATCTCGGTTCCAGACTCAGGCGCAATCTGCCTGTATCAGACAGCCTACAGGGCTGCATGGACTCTGTGCTGTTTAATGGACAGAGACTGTCCTTGGACTCAAACGGTCCATTAGGGGTTGCCATTGAGGACATGGTGGGAGTGTCTCCTGGCTGTGTCTTCTTCCCATCTCCAGACTGCTCCAGTAATCCCTGCCTCAACGGAGGGAGCTGCTTAATGAGGCAGAGTGGAGGTAGACTGAACCCACATACTGTAGATTCATGAAAAGATCATACTAAGAATATCTGTATTAATTTTTTCATATTATTATTCAGATAAATATTATTATTAGACTCCAATAGTCTACGACCTCATCGTTTTTTCCCCCCTTTTAATCTGGAATAATTAAATAAATAAATAAATACTGTGGGAGCCCATTTCCGCCTTAAGGTACAAAAAAGGTAATTGCAACTTTATATCTCACAGTGACTTTATGTCTTGTAGGAATTTATGTCTTCAAATTTATATTACATTTTTACTTTTATTTTTACTTAATTAAGTCTCATTGAGAGAAATAAAGTGACATTGTGAGATATACACTACCATTCAACAGTTTGGTAGTTTTTTTTTATTTTATTTTTTTTTAAAGAAAGTAATACTTTTATTCAGAAAGAATGCATTAAACCGATCAAAAGTGGCAGTACTGACTTTTAAATTGTTACAAAAGATTTGTTTTAAATAAATGCTGTTCTTTTGAGCTTTATATTCATTGTAGAATCCTGAATTTGGTTTCCACAAAAATATTAAGAAGCTCAACTGTTTTAAAGCAAATCAGCATATTAGAATGATTTCTGAAATATTATGTGACACTGAAGACTGGAGTAATGATGCCGAAATTCACCTTTAACATGAAAGGAATAAATTACATTTTAAAATATATTAAAATAAAAATTATTTTATATTGTAATAATATTTCACAATACTGTTTTTATAGTATTTTTAATCAAATAAATACAGCCTAGGCAAGCATGTAGTATAGTTGCCATTTAAAAAAATAAAGTTGTAATTGTGACTTTAATTGTCAGAACTTTATCTCAGAATTACATTTTATTTATCCGAGGAAGAAACTGGCTTCCATGAAACTTAAAAGAGAGATAATTGTACACCATTGTTTTGTGCAAATTAGCTATTAGAGATGTAATATTAGATAAACAAGCACTTTGCTAATGGTTTTAGACCCCACTGCACAAAACATCTTTATTTAACCCCTATGTTATATGTATAAACTGGTTTATTGCATTGCTGGGTCACTGATATAGTGATATTGCCACAGGTTATGTCTGTAAATGCATCACTTTATTCTCTGGGACTCACTGTGAGGTCAAGATCGGTCTTTGTGACTCCAACCCCCCCCCTTTTAATCTGGAATAATTAAATAAATAAATAAATACTGTGGGAGCCCATTTCCGCCTTAAGGTACAAAAAAGGTAATTGCAACTTTATATCTCACAGTGACTTTATGTCTTGTAGGAATTTATGTCTTCAAATTTATATTACATTTTTACTTTTATTTTTACTTAATTAAGTCTCATTGAGAGAAATAAAGTGACATTGTGAGATATACACTACCATTCAACAGTTTGGTAGTTTTTTTTTATTTTATTTTTTTTTAAAGAAAGTAATACTTTTATTCAGAAAGAATGCATTAAACCGATCAAAAGTGGCAGTACTGACTTTTAAATTGTTACAAAAGATTTGTTTTAAATAAATGCTGTTCTTTTGAGCTTTATATTCATTGTAGAATCCTGAATTTGGTTTCCACAAAAATATTAAGAAGCTCAACTGTTTTAAAGCAAATCAGCATATTAGAATGATTTCTGAAAGATCATGTGACACTGAAGACTGGAGTAATGATGCCGAAATTCACCTTTAACATGAAAGGAATAAATTACATTTTAAAATATATTAAAATAAAAATTATTTTATATTGTAATAATATTTCACAATACTGTTTTTATAGTATTTTTAATCAAATAAATACAGCCTAGGCAAGCATGTAGTATAGTTGCCATTTAAAAAAACAAAGTTGCAATTGTGACTTTAATTGTCAGAACTTTATCTCAGAATTACATTTTATTTATCCGAGGAAGAAATTGGCTTCCATGAAACTTAAAAGAGAGATAATTGTACACCATTGTTTTGTGCAAATTAGCTATTAGAGATGTAATATTAGATAAACAAGCACTTTGCTAATGGTTTTAGACCCCACTGCACAAAACATCTTTATTTAACCCCTATGTTATATGTATAAACTGGTTTATTGCATTGCTGGGTCACTGATATAGTGATATTGCCACAGGTTATGTCTGTAAATGCATCACTTTATTCTCTGGGACTCACTGTGAGGTCAAGATCGGTCTTTGTGACTCCAACCCCTGCCTTTATGGAGGAACCTGCATCCAGAATAACCTGGACTACTACTGTAAATGCAGGGGCCGGTACTCAGGTCAAAGGTACTACACAAGTACTGCACAACTGAATGAATTTTTGATTATAAAATCTGTCAATGGGGCAGAATTACTGTATGCCCAAAACTCTTTGTATGATTGCAGGTGTCAGATAGGTCCATACTGCAAGGAGAATCCATGCCAGAATGGTGGAAAGTGTATAGACGGTCTTGATGGACCCATCTGTGAGTGTGAGCCGGGATTCAAAGGAGAAAGGTCTTTTGTTTTTGTCATCCTTATGAACATATCATAGTACTCCTGTAGTACTTTTTTTCCCAAGTATGTTTGACAGAGTATTTTTGTTTTTCAGGTGCATGATCGATGTCGACGAGTGTGTGGACAGGCCTTGCTTCAATGACGGCCGTTGTGTCAACACATACGGGTCCTTTAACTGTTCCTGCTTGGTGGGATTCAGCGGGAGACTGTGTGAGATGGACACAGAAGTCAGAAACCAACTTGTATCTTCGTCCTGGAACTCTTGGATTGGAGAACTGGTCGCAATGCTGGCCTTCTTGACGGCCATCTTTGTTTTGACGATGTTTTTCTTAATCGTGTGGAAAGGAACCTGCAAACCTGACAAGAGCGATAAAGTGCTTGATAAGTACAAAGATGTTGATTCTTACATTCAGAGGTCCAGCGTATACAACCAAGCCCGAAAAGAATCGCGCCCGGACACCCCGCCGCAGGTCCCAGTGAGATCCATCTCCTACACGCCCAGCATTCCTGGAGAATGTCGAAACAACCGAGGCTCCGTGTCTGAGTTCAGCAGCTTCACGCCAGATCCACTCTTTGGTCTTAGGAAGACTGTGGCTGTGTGCAGTGTAGCCCCTAACCTACCACATCGCAAAGCATCCCATTCACATTCGGAAAATAATTCCATACAGCAAATGGACTGGGATGAGGAGTATGACGGTTAGTACAATCTGAACCTTCAGGCGGAGGCCTTTAAAGGTGCCCTCAGTAAAAAAAAAAAGCAAGTACTGTTCAGCTGGTCATGTGATCTCCACATGTGGGCTCCATGTAGATTATCTGCTTTATTTATTTATTATTTATTAAGAGTATTGTTTTTTGTTTTTTTTAAATGTGTAAACGTAGTTACTGAGTGCATTTTTAAAGTGCAAATTTTTAAAAACAATATTATCTTCTCGGTGTAAAGGCAGTGTAAAAATGCAAATTTGTGAAAACAGTGATGTCAGTTGCATGTGTGGTACGTATTCAGTCTATAGGTATGCACACAGGTGAATAGTGTTTCTTTACAATGTGACATCGCCAACTACTGGTCTGGCATGCGTCATTTTTGGTTGTTTTCACAGATCTGTGTAAACTGGGGTTATTTTGACGATGTTGTCGTTTGTGTGTGAAACTTTTCAAAAATGCAAAGATGCTTTTCCGTTTTTAGTACATTGTTGTCATTTTAACGTAACCCTAGTTAACACCTTTGCAGAATTGCTGTTTACGGTTCCTTTTTTGTATTTATTCTTCCAGAAAAAGTCCTAGACTTGACTTCCTGTTTAGCAGTTGAAGACGACAGTATTTCTTTGTCTCATGATAATAGAGGTCTGCGGTCCATGTGCTCTCTCCAATCAGACGTCACGGATGACAACAGTAAGTTGCACTAAAAATTCAAAATCTTGCCATTTAGTCAACAACTTTTTTTTTTTAAACAAATGCACAGATCTGACAAAAAAAAAAAAGTATTTTGCTATTTTGTGCACTGGTGTATTCATTTGCAACATATGTATCTATGTGCTATTTCTGTAATTAATTCAGCCCCCATATGGATTAAATCGGAGCACAGATTCTGAACAGATCCAAATGGGCTACAGTGTAAGTGTTATGCTGAATGCATTTTAAAAAGAAAAGCGAGAAAGGCCTGAGATTTTTGCTTTTAGAACCCTTTTAGAATTCTTGCTTTGGTATTTTCATAATTCGTAGGTCGTGCTTGATCTTAACCATGATTACATGCACATCATTTTCCGATAAAGACTTATATTCTTGTCCTTAATTATGAAAACAATTTTACATGCTCCACGTTTCTAAATGGGAATCTGCATATTCTTAATAAACATTTATTTTCCTGTCTTCCCTGCATTTCATGCTTTTCTGGAAATACTCTTGCAGCTCCCTCTTGCTACTTATTACATTTTTCAGTAATAATGTATATATTCAAATCATGTTGATCTTAATTAAATTAAAAAAGATCTTGAATTAATTAACAAATTTAATTAATTTTCATTGAATATTGGTTCTTTCCAAAAATCTTTCTTTGAAAACTGGACTTTTCAAAACTGAAGCACACAGTTTATTTGGATATGTACCCATATAAACAAATATTCCATTAGAGTGTATATCCAAATATGTGTTCATGGCCCAAATTTCTAGAAACTGTAATATTGGCTTAATTTAATCAAGGCATTTGGGTTAAACATTTATGTTATCACACAATCAAAATATCAGATCAATATTGGAATAAGCATGTGCATGTAGGATGAAATAGTGCATTAGTCATCAATTAATATGTGTTTAGCCTTTATGGTGCTTAATATTCTTATGGTCAGATATACTATTGTAGTCATTTCATAGTGCCTTTACAGAACACCTAGTTGGAATCATATTTAGGATTTGTCAACATGTTATGTCCGTTATATCTTCTGCAATATCTCTATTGAAGACTTTACCAAAGACATAGGGTCTTTTGTAAAGTTTTATCTTAAAAAGCGTCAAATCTGATTTAATGACTGATTTATTTATTTTTTACTTTTACAAGCCTCCAAAGCAAAATGCCCTGTCAAAACATAGTTTGACATGGAGGGAAAAAGGTATACAAAGTTACATCTCATGTCATGTTGTTACATCTCAGCCTGCTACTTTAACTCATTTTCTGTATGGCAGCATGTAGCTGATTGTTTATTTTCTCAACGTCCAGCACTGACCAAACTAATCACATGGAAATTAAAATTCATTTTGCTATTTTAAATGTGTATATATAAAACACTCAGAATGTAAAAAAAAATTGTTCTTCCTTGACTTGTCAACAAATGATTCTCGTCAGCTTTGGTACCTTGAGAATCCTATTTTTTTTTTTCTGCTGTGTTTTGTTGTTATTTATCAGACCCTTCTTGCATGCTCTATTGGTTTAGCAAGCTGGGTTACACTGAACAATTGTGTGAATTTGATAGGTTCTTGTGAATCGGCTATAACAAGATGCACCGGAATCGATCTCAGGGGCACTTTGATGTTTAATCTTCTTTAACTCTGAGGAGTTATAACAAGTGCTTTCAAACCAGCGTGCTCAGATCTTTCACATGTCCAAGATTAATGAGCCTCAGAACAATCAAAGCATGCTGTAGTCTGAAGATACACGTGAGCTTTACTGAAATGTGTGTTGTGGAGCTGCTTGTAGCTGTGAGAATGTGGATGATGTGACAATATACACAACCATTCAAAAGTTTCGAGTCAGTAAGATTTTTTTATTAAGAAATTATTTTATTTTTTTTATTCAGCAAGGGTGCATTAAATTGATCAAACGAAAATAAAGACAATATAATATATCTTATTTCAAAACATTTCTATATAAAATAAATGCTGTTCATCTTTCTATTCATCAAAGAATCCTGAAAAAATGTATGATGGTTTCCCCCCCAAAAAAGGAAGCAACGCAATGGTGATTACAACATTGATAATAATAAATGTTTCTTCAGCAGCAAATCAACAAATTAGAATGATTTCTGAAGGATCATGTGACACTGAATACTGGAGAAATGATGCTAAAAAAAATCAGCTTTGCATCACAGAAATAAATTACATTTTAAAATATTTGGCATTTGAAAACATTAATTTTCAATTGGAATGATTTCACAATATTACTCTTTTACAATTTGATCTATTTATTTTTAGTCAATTAAATGCAGCTTTGGTGAGCTTAAGAGATTTTTTCAAATACATTTTAAAAATCTTACTGACCTGAAACTTTTCAACAGTAGTGTACAAACATTATAGTGACTGTTCCCCCCCCCCCCC